TTCTGTTATGTGTGTCAGGTGGGATATGGTTTAATTGTGTTAATTCTGTAAATTAATGCAAGCAATCAAAATGTTTTGATTCTTCTATTGTTTGTTTTACGTGATAAATTGAGATGGATGTCCTATTGTGTTACCATGGAGAAATTTGTGTGTGTACCTCAGACGATGGGGTCATGCTGCAATACAATGAACAGAATGATTTTTAATCAGTCAACCAGTCAAGGAAATGTCTACATTATTGAATGGTGCCTCTTGATTTATAAAGATCTGGTGAAGGAAAAGAGGGTTCTAATTAGATTCAATATGATCAAAGTGTGCACATTCAGTCTGGTAGCAGCGGTGGACTACTGGTTAGAAAAGAGGGATATCAGACTTGAAGGTCATTGGTTTAAGTCCACAGACTGGATGGACTTGACCAGACATGCTTCTGTTAGATGGAATGTTTAAGTGCCCCTGTGCAAGGCACCTTATTCCCCCAATATCTTTTTCCTGGGCGCTTTCCATAGCTGTCCACTGCTCCGTGTGGTCACTGTGTGTGCTTTGATCACACAGATGATTAAATATGTTCAGCAAAGCAATAGAGTGTGACAGGAGCAGAGGCTAAAACTATATTTTACTTCTCAACACTTGCTCCTCCAAGGCAGTGCTGGGTTTCGTCTAAAGTATCAGACCTCCTCTCCTTCTTCACATCAAGTTTTTCTTCATCCTTTTTTGTTTTTATCAAATGATGCCTAGTGAGGGTTGATGAGCACCCACAGCCTGAAGAAAATCTAAATAACAGTGGAAAACTGTTGGCTCAACAACAACAGAAGCTTAAAAAGGTTACAGAAGGGCACAGAACGACGCTGACACTTTCATGTTTGTGTCAAAAACTATTACATTTTATCAGATTATTAGCTGAACTGTCTATTCGAGTGTCTTTAAAAGTAATGAGTAACATCAGTCATATACACAGTCATATAAACTCTAATCATTAAATCCTTTTATAGTTAAATTAATTTCCTTTATGATTTAATGTTTTAGTTTTCATCACCCCAATTTGCTGAGCAGAAGCCGCTCCTAAATATTTCAAATCTAAAAAAAAAATGCATATCCGTCACAAACAAATGTATATAAATGATAA